AATATGTACAGTTTTACTAACACATTTCAAATCTGTATTTCCCCCAGTCATGAGGGGTTAAATAGCTATTTATTTTTGCACTATGCAAGAATATTTAGTAGTATAGCACTAGTCATACACTATTGAATTAACTGTCAATGCCACTCATTCATACTGCAACCAGTGATTGGATAAGGGTTCATTTCTTTGACATTGGTCACAAAGATTTTCCAGGTTTCTGCAGAAAATGGAATAGCTCTTTCAATACCTCTAAATAAAAGAAAAAAAATGGTATTTATGATGTGAAAAACTCTTATCTTTTTTTTAAAGCATCAAGACTTTGTGACTAAAGGTGGCTATAGACAGATAGAAATGTGTCCAGTTCAGCAGAGATATGTGGATAGAGTAATCCGCTGTATATTTTTCATTTAAACCGCTAACCTAATAAAAAAAATGACACTTCTAAGGCAAGCTTAAGGACCCCTTCCCATATAGACGAAAGGGTTGCCAACTGTACTGTAAGGGGGAACTCTGTGGACTCTTGTGTAAGCAAGAGGGGAGTTCTGGTGACCAGATACCCTCTTACATCAGAGTTCCACTTTACATCACAGATGGTCTGCAGCATTCCCCTTTATACCAGGGTCCACAGTCTTCCCCTTTACATCAGGGTCCACAGAGTTCCCCCTTACGCTACCGGGAGGAACCCTGCAGACTTTGATGTACAGAGGAACTCTGTGGACTCTGATGTCAGGGAGAACTTTGTGGACTGTGATGCAAAGGGGCTCTCTGTGGAGTCTGATGTTAAGGGAAGCTCTGTGAACTCTTATGTGGTGACCAGAGACCCCCTTACATCAGAGTTTTCTTTCATGCCAGAGTCTGCAGCATTCTCCCTTACATCAGAGTCCTCAGAGTTCTCCTTTACATCAGAATCCGCACAGTTATCTTTTACATCAGGGTCCACACAGTTCTCCCTTGCACTGCAAAAGGGAAACTCTGCAGACTCTGATATAAGGGGGAAATTTGTGCTGGGTTATATTAATCTAACCTTCATGTAAATGAGAGAAATATGTTTTTTTGCCTTTTGTTATACTGTACCTTAAACACTGTGCTAATAAAACTATCTACATGTTGTAGCTTAAATATTGATATTTGCACTGTTTTGCACTGAAAACAGTAATTTTATGTATTTTTTTTTTTATTACCAGTAAACAAATTTGGCCCTGTCTGTAAATTTCATGAGTTTTGGCAGTAAAACAAATTGGTGCTGTCAGTAAAATTTTGGTGTCCTGTCAGTAACCTTCACTTTGGGAGGTTGGCAGCACTGATAGGCAATTTGTAATCATGGGCAAAATCACAGCAATTCTGTCCATGATTCCAAATTGCGGCAAACTGCACAAGGCGTTTTTGGGTGCTATTCATCCTTTATGGCAACCCAAACGAGGCGTGATTTTGACGCAGTTGTCATGCAACAAAACAAGTGATAATCACAGCAAAACACCCATGCAAAATTGCACCTGGGTCTGGGCCAAAATTTGGGCCCTGAGCTTCATTGGTGTGACAAACACATAGGACCTATTCAAGTGAATGGGTTGTCCTATGCTTTTCCACATTTGAATTACGCTGTTTTAATTTGCTAGTGGGAGCTCACATTCCTACTAAGCAATATGTGAATGGGGTCTAAATCTTGGTTTAGTTCTCTGTTTGCATGTATGCTGTTGCCAGAAAGAAAAAACTTAAGCCTACAGTCACATGTAGGTGCAGAGAGTTAAACACCTCTGGATGGAGAAACACTCTGGGCTATATCCACATGGGCAGAATCACAGCAATTCTGCCCATGGTTCCAAATTGCGTCAAACTGCACAAGGCAGTTTTGGGTGCTATTCATCCTTTATGGCAACCCAAACACGGTGTGATTTAGGTGCAATTGTCATGCAACAAAACAAGCGATAATCACAGCAAAGCACTAATGTAAAATTGCACCTGGGTTAGGGCCAAAATTTGGGCCCTGAGCTTCTCTGGCTGCCAGAAAGAAAAAACTTAAAGCGGTGTTCCACTCACTCTGTAAAAAAAAAAGCTACAAAAACTGTAGCTGCTGACTTTTAAATAACAGCCGCTCACCTGTCCCACGATCCCGCGGTGCCCCCGCAGCAGTCTGTTTCACCGGCCGTCCTGTATTCCAGGTGCTGGCATATTCAGTGTGGCAGCTTGCGGCTTCACAGCCGGGTGCCCACTGCGCATGTGTAAGCCGTGTACCAGGGTGGGCTCCCCAGGATACAGTGAAGTCACGAACGAGGAAAGCAACCCCAACACCAGCTTTTGCCACAACAGAATTTTACTTAGATGTGGCAAATAAACACAACCACAAATGCTGGAAACATACAATAAATTTACATACACCCAGCCCAAAGACTGAGACCCTTGTGCTGCACAGCACAGCACCTTCTGATGGATGAACGTAGAAAGTGAAGTAATTTACCTTGTGGCGGGCACAACTAAGCTGCCACACCTTACCTGTTATTACCCTAAAAGAGCAGGAATCAGTGTATGGGTATATGGTATGGGCTAGCCTGCGGTGCAGCACAACAGCTTACAATCTTACACAAATCTACAGTATTCCTTCCCCTCCTATAACTGGTCCTGTAGCACATGCCTGAGTATTCCTTCTGTGCAAAATGCCAGTCTGGCTTGAGTTTGTGGGATTTTATCAGCTCTCCAATGTGAAATGTCACTTTAAGTTGTGGAGTCCTTCCAATAATCAGTAACAACACTTGTGGCCTGACACAAACAGAGACCCTAACTAACTAACTATAGGCCTGGACTCAGTCTGAAAGGCGCCAACACTGAAATGAGGTGCGTGCACGATCGTACCGACCCGGGTCTGCTTTCCATACGCTGGTGACTCTGAACAGAACAGATGTCTCTCCAAGAAGCATGCGGTCTCACTGTATATGTTACTTAGTTCCTCTGCTCTCATCAGCATTCCTGGCAGCAATCTCATCAGCTTCCTGGCAGCAATCTCATCAGTTTCACTTAGCTGCAGCTCTGGTTACGGAAGGATGCTTTCACACCTGGATGTCATCAGATTCTCAGCTCACACGGCCCCTGCATTCACCATCCTCTAAACATGGCTGTTCTCTCTCCTCTTCCTGTTACCTCAACTCTGTGTGAAAACTCCACCTCTACAAGAATATATAGAAATATCTATGCAGTCTGAGGCTGTGTTAGAAAAACAGTGACATCTTGTGGCTAAACTGCAGAATGTCAGTCAAAACATTTCATTTACTCCACACAAGCAGTATTCAAACAATGAGAGCTGTTTCCCCATCTCACATATGTGTGAGTAGCGCTGTGCTTCCTGAATGGCCCCGTTGTCTTCTGGGACCTGTCACATATCCCAGAAGACTATGGGGAGGGAGGGTAAGAGGACAACTTCCGCTTCCGATTGCCTAGGTGATCGCAGCGGAAGTGGGAGCGGGTACCTGTCAATTTCGGGTACCCGCCCCCCCCCTGCTCCCCAAAGGTGCCAATCCTTAATGGGGAGCGGGGGACCAGTCTTTAAAGCGGAACTTTCCCTTTTTGGAGGAACTCCGCTTTAAGCCTACATTCACATGTAAGTGCAGAGAGTTAAACACCACCTCTGGATGAAGAAACACTCTGGGCTATAGCCACATACAAACTGGCCACTTAGCTGGAGGCCAGTTTGTTTCTGGCCAGAACTCAGCAGAAACACTGACCCTGGATGCACACTGGCTGCATCTGTGGTTGGTCAGAGGAGTGGTCACATGTAAACAGTTGAGTTGTGCAGATTATAAATCTGACAGTTTCCATTGATATCTGCTACTGGAGGCACACAGTTTTTGCAGGCAGCTTTTCGATCTACTGATTTTTGCTAGCGGCCACCCCTGTCTGCTGCAGTGCCTTGGAGTTCTGGTTACTTTTCTAAACACTGTCTCAGGATGCAGCATCACCTAGCATTATGGTCACATACAAACTGCAGACTACTGCGGCCACTTTGTGTGTAGCCAAAACTTCACAGAAACATCAAATCTGGACACACAGTTGCTGAGTCCAGGGTCAGTTGGAGGCTCTACTCAAGTGTAAGGGTCCTTTCACACGGGGCGGATCTGTTTAGTGGACCCGCTTGCTCAGCGGGAGATCTCTACACTGAGCAAGCGGATGGCAAAGTCTGTGTCTGCTCTGCTGCTGCAGAGCAGCTCACTCTCCTCTATGGGCGGTTGGATAAACTGACCGCCTGTCTGTTTCCATCTGATCCGATCAGACAGACAGAAGGGGAATTGGATCCCCATCCATCCCTTTTTGGCGGATCAGATTGGATCAGATGTTGGCGGGTGTAAACGGACATGAGTCCATTTACACCCGCCGCTCTATAGAGGAAAATGGAGGTTCCAATTGGTTCTGCCTCAAAAATGGGCCGATCGGAACATTAGTGTGAAAGAGCCCTAACAGCTCAGATTTTTACACATTACAAATCTGACAGCTGCTTCGGTTGCACACCGTGGGGTTGATTTACTAAAACTGGAAAGGTCAAAATCGGGTGCAGCTGTGTGTGGTGGCCAAACAGCTTCTAACTTCAGATTGTTTAACCACTTGCCCTCCTGAGGATTTACCCTCCTTCCTGACCAGGCCATTTTTTTGTGTTACTTTAACTGACAATTGCACGGTCATGAAATGCTGCACCCAAATGAAATTTATGTCCTTTTTTCCCACAAATAGAGCTTTCTTTTGGTGGTATTTGATTTCCTGTGAGTTTTTTATTTTTTGCACTAAAAAAAAAAGACCGACAATTTGGAGAAAAAAAAACTATATTTTTTACTTTTTGCTATTAAACATGTCCAGTAAAAAATTTTAAAATTTAAATTTCATCATGTAGACCAAAATGTATTCTGCTACACGTGTTTGCTAAAAAAAAAATCCCAATACATGTACATTAATTGATTTTCTTGAAAGTTATAGCGTCTACAAATGGCGGTATATATACTGGGAATGTTTTTTAAATTTTTTATTTTTACTAGTAATGGCAGCAAACAGTGACTTATAGCGGGGCTGTGGGACTGCGGTGGGCATTCTGCCACTGGGGGGAACTGGCTCGACTTGGTGTAACTGACATCCCCAGTTACACCAATACAGTGATCAGTGCTAATAAAAAGCACTGACACTGTACTAATGGCACTGGGCAGGAAGGGGTTAACATCTGGGGTGACCAAAGGGTTAACTGTGTGCTGTTTTACTGTGTTCTGTGTGTGCTTCACTGTAAGCACACTGCTTTGTATGGCTCTGCTATGCAAAGCCATGCATAGCAGTGTGCAGGAGCTGACAGGGGACGGAACTGTGTTGTTTACTTACAGTTCCCTCCCTCCTTTGGTAATGCTCCTTGATCACTGGGTGCCAGCGAGTAATCATTGGCCAGGACCCAGTGATTGATAGTCGAGACTGTGAATAGCAGCACGGGTAGAATGTACTCTCGCCTCCTACCAGGAGATGCAAAATCATGTATATTTATGTGATTTTGCACACCCGTACCATCCTGTAGCAGTATTACTGCTATAGGGTGGAAGGGAAGCGGTTTAACCCCTAAACGCAGAGCGCACGCAAATATACGGCCTCTTGGCGTCTGGGCCTTGACACCGAGCGGCTGCATATTTGCGTGCCATTAGAAAATACATATGTGCTCAGAGCGCATGCCCTGCGCGCTCCCAGCACGTATGTCCGTGACTCCCAGAAAGGTCCCAATCTCCCCTTGCGATCGGGACCTTTTCCGATCATGTGTCCATCATGACGGCGAATCACAGTGGTCATATGACCCTAAAACCCCGCCCGCCTCCTGGCTTCTGAAACTTTGCCAAAAAGTAAACTGGAAGCTGTTTGGTTGCTATGCAGCACTGTACCAGATTTTGCATGCTCCAGTTTTAGTAAATCAACCCCATTTTGTGCAGGCAGCATCTACAACCATCCGCAAGAATTTACTGTTCTCGGCAATTCTTGCCCTGCCTAATGTTGTTCTGCCATGTAAATGTAACCTTAGTGTCCTGGGACTGTTTTGCAGCAAAATGTTTATCTCCTCGCAAGATTCCTGTTAAAGACCGAATGCTCTTACAAATGTATTCCTCATGGAAGCCCATACAACCATTGTTGACTGTTGACTACCCGTGTTAACATGACCACCAGACCATGAAGATTGCAGGAATATTTTCACAGCAATTTAATGTTAGATATACACCATGTACAGAATGAAGTATTTCATTTTCATTGCTATGTAACCTTTTGCATACCAAAGAAATATGGTTGAAACAGGCACTAAAAATGAGGTCAGGAGTGCAGGATTGACACGGAGGGTTGGAACAGCTGGAAAATGTTTCTAGTGACAAAGGGGAAGGAGTCAAGGAGGATTAGAAATCAGAGGTGTGGGAAAGTTAGACGAGATGGTAGGATGGATCTCATGGTATGTAGAATCCAATATGGCTTTGACAAGGATCAGGTGTGGGAAGAGAAGCAGCAAGATGCTGGAAATATATCAAACCAAAACACGTCCCATCCTACAGATTCTTGAATAAAGGCAAATGTATGTGTTTTAATTGTATGTATATGTGTGTCCAGATGTGCATACCATCCTTTCTGCAGTGCTTAACGCAGATGTCAACCCAATCACTAAAATCTGATATACACTTTAGGGTTCATATACACTGCAGCTGATAAACTGACATTCCGGAGCTTTTCTGTGTTTTTTTCAGCAGCCCCTGAACTCTCCCTAATATTTTCCTATGTGGCCATGTACACTATGTCATTTACAGTCATTTACAGGCAGTTGAATTTACAGTCGTTTTCTTGAACTCACCAAACTTGCGTTCAGGAGTAGATTTTATCAGCGTTTCAAATTCCAAACACTTGTACACGCGTGTAAACGTGGCTAACCGTGTTTATAAGCTTTTGCGTGTAGAAGCGTTTTTTAACTGTTCCATATCCCAATGCTGTCCAGAGCCTTTTTTCATTATCAGGAATGCAAGCAAAGCGTTTTCCATGTATTCAAATGGACCCGGTACACCAGTGCAGTCAGTTCCAGGTTTCACGTGAAGGAAAAAATGGGTAGAACGCGCCGCATTATGCTCATGATGGGATCCATAGTGAATACAACCAGAAAAGACAGGTCATCTCAACACATACTGCTCTCTCTGCTTCTGCTCTCTCTATTCCTCTCAAAATGTCTGAAATAGTTAATTTTTTTACTGTTTTTCAGTGCATTCTGGGCATTTTGTTATCTTTAAAAAACGCTTCTAAACGCAAAAGCACATAAATGCGCATAAACTGCATAAATGCAAAAGCAGCTAAACAGACATTTTTTAACCTATGTTTTCCAGCAGTCAGTTTCCATCATTCATAAGTGCTTTCCAAATGTCCTGTGTACATTTGTTAATGTCATTTTAAAAGGCTTTACGGGCTTCTACAGTGTTCATTAAAACAATACCTTTGAGTGCTGGTTCTCGCTGCACACCGCATGTGAGTCGCACAGGAATTGCACCATGGTGACACTGTACTACTTGTGGGGGGTGATGAAGATTTTTTCTTTTTTTTTTACGCTGATTGCTTTTTCACCCATAAATGCTGTAAAAGCAATCATTTCTCCTTCTGTCTGGCTGCATTCTTGCAGCCATTGAGAAATACTGTGAGAGCTGTGATGGTCACAGCTTGTCACATGATACAAGGCTGTTGTGAATAGCCTTGTGCCATGTGACCTCTGTGATCATTCACAGATTTCACTAGTAGTAAGAAATGATGTCAGCAAGTGACATCTTGCTTACTACTATTCATGTGATCACTGATTGGCCAATCAGTGATCACATGATCGGGACCTCGCACAGCGGGCACATGATCGCGGTGCTGTGTGCTCCCAGGGAGCGTGCATAGTCAGGGAATGCAGAGGTTGTTTATAAATGGCCACCCGCTCCTACACTCATCCCATCCGGCCATTTATATACATGGGCCGGACGGGAAGTGGTTAAAGTATTTTCTTCTACTGCCTCGAAACCTTAAGGCTCCATGCACACTGGGCATTTCAAAAACACTGATAGCATTAGCTGTGTAAAGTCACGTTAAAAATGCAGGTTTTTCAGCGTTTTTTTTGCATTAGCATTTAGCCGGGTTTTTCTACGTTTGCATTTTTTTAGCAGTGTTTGCTCAAAAAAGCAAGCATCCAAAAACGCTGGTTTGCCACATTTTACTGTGTTTTTCAGCGTTAGATGGTTTTTACAGCTAAAAAACTCCTAGAAACACATTAGTTCTGGGTCTTTTTCCAGCCACAAAATGCCCCTGCCAAAACATCAATTTAAGGTATTTTCTTCTACTGCCTCGAAACCTTAAGGCTCCATGCACTTTATATACACTGGTAGCGTTAGCTGTGTAAAGTCGCGGTAAAAATGCAAGCTTTTCAGCATTTTTTAGCATTTTTGCATTAGCGTTTAGCAAAGTTTTTGCACATTTGCATTTTTTAGCGGATTTTTACACACACAAAAAAAAAATTTGCTAAAAAAAATGTCCAAAAACACCGGTTTGCCACGTTTTACCACGCTTTTCAGCATTAAAGTGTTTTTACAGCTAAAAAACACCCCTAGAAACCCACTAGTTCTGAGGTTTTTTTCCAGCCAAAAAAATACCCCTGCCAAAAAATATTGATTAAAGCCTATGTGTCCATGGACATACAGGATAACATGCTGGGGAGTTTACTGGCTGTAGAAGAAAACATCAAAAGCCAAAAACATCCAGTGTGCATGAGGACTAACAAGCATGTGGACATAAACTGATTTTTAAACATTTGTTCTGTTCTTGATTTATAACTACAGTATGTGTATTTATGTGATCCCAAATGAATTTTAACACTCCAAGATCCAAAACATTTAAGGGTCTATTTATCAATTTTTTCACTGAAGATTCAGACAATTTTAACTCAAGAATAATTAATTTTTCACATCGATTCAATTAGAAACGTGTACATTTTGGGTGCAAAAAATGTTATATAATGCTATATAATGTATTGTTGCAGATATGTTTGCCTAAAAAAAAATCTGATTTTTTTTATCTGCAGCTCATAATCATGGAGTATCAATATCAAAGACATTTTCTGAAGATTGGGTTCTGACCTTAGTGAAAACTAAAAATGAATCTATGACATGAATACAGGGATCACTGATTGCTTGCTTAGGGCAATCGTTTTTCATCCAGGTGTTTCTGTAGGGCACCAATTTATCTGCCACCAAACATCACTTGTTTGCTTGTAATCCTGTGTTTGGGAACATGAACGCTGTTTGAATGGATAATAAAGCAGCGCTGAAAGACTGCATCAACAACTAAAATTAAAGCTGCTTTGAAGTGCAAGCAATGTAAGTAACTGATTTGTCTCGGTATCAGCCCCTCTGCAGCCCCCGTAACACGGAGCTTAAACTGAGAGGAGAAAAGCAGCACAAGAAGTCATTCAGTTCATGTAATGAAGGAACATGTTGTAAGAAGGTGAAAGCAGAATGACACAGATAAGATGATCATTTTGCTGCTTGTTCTGCACTCTCCAGTCATAGGCTGGGGGCAGATCCATGAAGACGTGGGTTCAAAAGGAGTGGGTTGAATGATGCTGGTAATAATTCATCCTGGAGACTGAGGATCTTTATTAGCAGAAAAGAAGTGCTGTGGGGCCAACTCTGAAACTCTAAAAAACATACTTTTTTAACCACTTGAGCTCGGGAAGGTTTTACCGAATAACTAGCACATTTTTTGCTATTCAGCACTGTGCAACTTTAAAGTGTTACTAAACCCAGGACCCTGAAGTCACTATATTTGGTCTCCCACAGTACACAGAACATGGATGTGCAATTATTTTAGTAAATATAAACTGCTAAATACCTTTTCTCATCAGCAGTTAAAGGAGTCTTGTGACTTCTATCAGTATCCAGCAGAGCACATATTAAAGCTTGCAGGAGGAGTTTTCATTTTGCTGTAGGCGGGCATACTTTTTTTAACCACTTGAGCTGGGGAAGGCTTTACCACCTTCATGACTAGGACATTTTTTGCTATTCAGCAATGCACAACTTTAAAGTGTTACTAAACCCAGGACCCTGCATTCACTATATCTGTTCTCCCACAGTACACAGAACAAGGAAATGCAATTACTTTAGTAAACATAAACTGCTAAATACCTTTTCTCATCAGCAGTTAGAGCAATCTTGTGACTTCTATCAGTGTCCAGCAGAGCACATGTTAAAGCTTGTAGGAGTAGTTTTCATTTTGCTCTAGGCGGACATACTTTTTTTAACTACTTGAGCTGGGGAAGGCTTTACCACCTTCATGACTGGGACATTTTTTGCTATTCATCACTGCACAACTTTAAAGTATTACTAAACCCTGGACTCTGCATTCACTATATCTGGTTTCCTACAGTACACACAACATAAAAATGCAATTATTTTAGTAAATATAAACTGCTAAATACCTTTTCTCATCAGCAGTTAGAG